ACTTCAGTAATGTCTGGTATTATTGAATTAGATACTTCACAAGTTCATCAAAATTGAATTAGTTAGTCTAGATTTAAATGTAGTTTATTTTTTAGTATGCTATTTTACTAAATACATTACATTTGTTTGGGCTGAGACCGAAACAACGATAGTTCGTGTGCCCGGCACCGAAATACTTCATGCGCAAGAACACTCACACACCGACCGGTTTGTGTTGCGTATTAATATGTGTATGGCAGCTCAAGAGTAGTGGACGGGATTGCCGAGCAAATACTATGAGTGCTAGGTAATGTGCGGTGTGTAAGGTGTGTATGTGTATGTGTGTGTATGCAAATAATGTCAACACAAATTCAATGTTATTAATATGATATAATAAAACGCTTTCAAATAATACAAAATAAATAAAATTATAGCCAATAGGCAAAAACAATATAATAATATTTTATAACAATCTATTTGAGCCGCTAAGAATTATATAAAGATGGCCAAATAGTTGATAATAAGAAATAACTAGCTATTTGAGCTGTAATATAATAATAAATGTATAAAATAAACTCACAATTTGACGGAGCGCCGCTGGCCAGCTGCTACCTGTACTGTATAATGATAATAAAAATAAACGCACACCTTGCGCTGACAAATAATAATAATAACAAATAATTTAAAAAACACAGTGGCGATTCGCGCCTACACAATAATAGCACGGACGTACGGTTTAATAATTATAATATGTAAGACGATTTGCGCCTTACATAAGAATATTACAAACTTGGCGCCTGAACTTAAAACAATATAATATCGAACCGGCGACCGGTACACTCGCTAATGATATTGTGTCTTGATGACATCGGTGAGCGCACTGATTGGATTGCGGCGGCCGTGTCATATAATAATAAATACGCAGCCGGCGCGGCGGCGGCGATAATTTACATAATATTATATAATAATTCACAGTTGATACGGACAATTAAACAGAAATAAAAACAATAATATAAATATATAGGAACAAACAGGTAACAGGTATGTGATTGCATTAGTGTGTGCATGAGTCGGTGGTGGTATAAGCGGCCTCACATATCAACAATAATGTTGCTGCATTTCGGGCGGCAACAACATTGCATGTACAACTTTTATTTTTGCTTTTATGTAGATATTAGTAAACAAGCTAGAACCAAAACTTGTGCACGGCTAATTGCAAAGAAAAATAATCAAACGGGTTAATAACTTTTTTAAATAAATTATATTTTGGAATTTATCCATCAACTATTACTTTATTTAATTCTTTGAAATAAACTAAATTGTTGAATCAGTTCCAATCTCCATTAGTAACATAATCATTGCTTATTATTTTATCTAATGTCCATTGTACATTTATAGTATTATTGGCAAACATTGGTGTGCGAAATATCAGGCATCTTACTCCTAGGTGTAAAAAGTTCTATTCAATAACCAATCGACTAATTAGGAAACAACGTCAGTCAGACGTTATGAAGGAACTATTCAAAAATAGATTGAAGAAAGCAGAACAATTTGCCGATTCGTACATGATCAATAAATTGAATGGGAAAGTAACGGCTGCAGCATCGGTTTTTACCAAATTACAACTTCGAGAAACTATGAAAAAGAAAAAAGGTAATAGATTCACATTGGAAGAAAAAATGCTGAGTCTTTCAATTTATAAAAGAAGTCCAAAATGCTATAGACTTTTATGAAATCTTTTTACGCTTCCATGTAAACGGACCTTAAATAATTTACTAAGTACGGTATCTATTGGTCCAGGAGTTTCACCTGTGGTCTTGCAAGTTTTAACAGAAAATGTTAAAAAACTTAAACCATCTGAAAGGTAAGTTTTTCGTGTTGCATCAATAACTTTTAAATGTATAAATTGTTGATTTGGTTTTTAGGTATTGCTAAAATAGATATATTTGATGAAATATCATTGAGTAGTGGACTGAACTAGGATTCATCTGCTGATAAAATAGATGGCTTTGTGAATTCTGGTTCTTATAAAAGCCAACAGTTGGCAGACCATGCTTTAGTTTTTATGGTCAGTTGAATACAAAAAAAAAAAAACATAAGCAACCAGTATCATTTTCATTCTGCCAAGGTGCTACTAACCAGCATGAATTAGCAAGACAAATTAAAGAAGTATTTATAAAAATATTTATTATGATTATAAATTATGTTTTTATACCAATGTTTTATAGTATTATGAATTAGGTAATACGAAAAGTTTCTAGAACAGTGTTTTATATAGTAGCAACTGTGTGCGATCAGGGGAAGCCAAATGAAGGTGCAATTCGATTATTAAATGATCAAACCAGAGAATATTGTATTAAAAATATTAGAGAGTATCGAGAAGAATTTTATGAGGTGGAACAAGCAACCGGAGAGCGAACGAAAATTGTGCACTTATTGGTTGTTCCTCATCTTATGAAGTGCACAAGAAATAATTTGATGACTAAAAATCTCTCATTTGAAATGGATGGTATCAAACGATTAGCAAAGTGGCAACATTTAGAAGAATTATATAATACGGATAGTGCTTTGCCAGATTCAAAAATGTTGGTGCTGTTCGGAGCCTTGGCTGTGACAATCCTACTAGTCATTCATTTATTTCTGCCTACAAAACCTTGTTGCTGAAGAATTTAATATTTATTTATTTATTTATAATATATAAACGCCTAACGGAAATTTTAAATTAACAGATTAAGTTTAAAATTAATAGATATAACAATAATATAATACAAATTCACACAAAATTAGAACATATGGAAAAACATAACATAATATAAACTAAATGGTAATACCTTAATTTAGTAACATAAAACTATGTTACAACATATTAATAACAATGATATTATTTAATTACTTATTAAAATCAAAATTAAGATTGTTCAGATTACGAAGCATTCTGTGCAAGGGGTGATTATGTCCGTATAATGTATTGTGAGTTGGAACTTGGAAGAGTGCTTGATTTCTGGAGAAGAAGAAAGGGATACGAAAACATATTTTAGAGAGGAGATCGGGTGCATCTATGGTGCCACCTAGGAGCGAGGTTATAAAGCGCTCATCAGCATCTTGTCGACGAGTTGACAGCATTGGTATTCCCAATGAACTACGAATTAAGGAATAGTCATGCGTAGGATGAGGTATCTTCATTATGTAGGTAATGTAGGAAAGAAATCTATTTTGTACACGCTCGAGTCTTAGTTCGTCTTTAACTAGGTAGGGATGCCACACCACCACACCGTATTCTAATATAGAACGTACTAATGAGAAGTATAATGTGCAGAGACAACGAGCAGAAGAAAACTGACTAGTATTGTGTTTAATAAAACCCAATACTTTTAAAGCTTTACCTACAGTGACATTTATATGGTACTCAAAATTTAATTATGGTGAGTAATGAATACCAAGATCTTTATAGAGGAAGACACGGTTAAGAGAAGTGCCATTAAGAGAATAGTTGTGGTGGATAGGAGATCGCTGTCTAGAAAACGACATAACATGACATTTGCTTATATTAAGGCTAAGACCAATGGAGTACTCCCAATTTGCAAAAATATCTAGTTCTGACTGTAGGATATGACATTGATTGAGATTGTCTATTTTAAGGAATATTTTTATGTCATCAGCAAAAAGAAGAAGTTTAGCCTTAGTGATCAATTTGGTTATCGAGTTCACAAACAGAATAAATAAAAGAGGACTAAGGTGGCCTCCTTGAGGGACTCCAGATGGTATTACAGCTAACTCCGAAACAGCATTTTTGATTTTTATGAATTGTTTTCTACCTGTGATGTGCAACCAAGATAGTAGGGGATTCCCAATGCCTAAAGTCTTAAGCACCATCATAAGGCAATCGTGGTCCACTGTGTCAAATACTTTATTAAAGTCTGTAAAGATTACATCTACCTGACCTCTGTGTTCGATAACTTCTGATAAATAAGAGGAGAAGGTAACACCACTTGTTACGGTTGATTTATGCGATCTAAAACCATGCTGCTCACTTATAATAAGATGATTAAGACTATACTTTATTCTGGAGTATACAATCGATTCAAATAATTTACCAATATGTGGTATTATAGAAATTGGTCTGTAGTTTTGGATATCAGAAGCGTCACCAGATTTCAGAACAGGTGCTATAGAGTATATTTTCCAAACCTTAGGAAAAATACCTAAATCTAATGAACGCCTGAATAGTAAATAAATTGGATAAGCAATAGAAAAACGACAATTGTACAAGCATTGAGCGGATATGTCATCTGGACCATTAGAGTAAGTATTTTTTAACAATTTAAGAGCGGAAAAAACATCGTCGACAGTAAACGTTATATCGGAAGGAAGTTCATAGGATAAGTAATCAGATGAGCCAGTAAATGGTGAAAGTGGGAAAGACGAGGAGTTGAACGTCGAGGAGAAATGAGTTGAAAACAGATTAGCTGATTCAGTTGGAGTATTTGAGGCAATATTACCGAGATGGAGTGATGACGGAATTGGAGGTTTCTGTTTTAGATTATTTACAAATTTCCAGAATTTGGAGGGGGAAGATGATAGAGCCTCCTCGGTATGCTTAATATGAGCAGAGTAATCAACTTTTGACTGGCGTTTACATTTTGCTCTATATTCAGAGAAAACAAGAAAATCAGATATCGACTTGGTTCGCTTATAAACAGCATGGGCTTTCTTCTTGGTTATTATAAGATTTTTGAGAATGGTGGATGTTCATTTAGGAAATTTAGAAGGTGAAAAAACTTTGATGGGAACAAACTTATTTATCTATTAAGTATAGAGTATTCAAACAATCTTCATCATTCATTTCTTCATTGAGTTCATCTACATTAACATAAGAACATTCAGCACCAATAATATTACTAACATAATAGTTTTGTAAATGTGTTGTTTCTTTTCTTTTACGTTTGGAACCCGGAAGTATCAAATTAAATATATAAAGATATATTATAACATAAAATACTTTTTAGGCGATTGAGGCAGTCATGAATATTGTAAACAGAGTTGGTAGTGGCCAATTGTATACTCGTAAACTGTGTGCACTAGCTTCGCTTGATGTCGCTAATGCATTCAACTCGGCACCGTGGGAGAAGATTGATGCTGCTCGCATACACAAAAGGTTTCCAGCCTATCTCATAAAAATGATCAGGTCGTGTATTTTGAGTATTATAACGGAGAGTGGACGGCGTTTGGTGACTACTGGTGTACCTCAGGGCTTGGTCATTGGACCAATACTGTGGAATATTTTTTATGATGGTTTGATGCGGCTGGAACTTCCGGAAGGTGTACAAATCGTGTGCTTTGCAGATGATCCGGCGGTGGTTGCCACAGGGCATACTACCTGGTTGTTGGAGAAAGCCATGAATGACTCCTTACAGCTGGTCTCTACCTGGATGGAAGAACAGGGATTGTTGCTATCAAGCAGCAAGTCTCTTGCAATAATGCTTACAACGAAGCGAGGCTATGATAAGCCAACGTTCAAAATTGGTGACACGGTTATAGAACTTTCTGATGATGTGAGATACCTCGGGATGCAGCTCAGCTCTGTGCTGGGCTACAGGAAGCATATAGAGGTTGCAAGTGACAAGGGCACGAGAACAGCTGCGGCACTTTCTCGCTTAATGCCCAACGTTGGAGGACCCTCTGCCGCAAAGAGGAAATTGCTTACGACGGTTGTTCATTCACAACTACTGTATGCGGCACCGATCTGGTGTGGCGCACTTCAGCACGAGGTCAATCGCAACCAACTATCTTCCCCAAAGAGAAAGATATCGTTGAGAGTTGCGAGTGCCTACTGTACGGTGTCGTACGCGGCTATAATGGTGGTAGCAGGCATAATACCCATCCATTTACTCGCAGCTGAAAGATCAGAGATCGAGCATGCAAGGAGAGATGGCAGAGATCTAGCTGAGGCTAAAAGGGAAGCGAGAGATAGAGCAATGAATAATTGGCAGGCCGAATGGGACCGGAATGATACTGGGAGTTGGACACGCAGGCTAATACCTCGAATCGATGTGTGGAAGAACAGGAGATGGGGTCAACTTAGCTACCACGTCACTCAGTATTTGACGGGGCATGGATGCTTCAACAAGTATCTACTGCGATTCAAGAAGAGGGAGAACGCGGTGTGTATGTACTGCGATCACCCGAATGATGACGTCGAACATACATTTATCGGATGTGACAGATGGTGGCAGGAAAGACGTATCCTGGAAGTGGAATTGGGAAGCGAACTGACCCCGGAAATTATGGTGGAGTGCATGCTACAGTCGAAGAAAAATGGGATCGAGTCGTCAAGTTCATTACAGCTGTCATGACAAGGAAGGGTGGTGGATGAGAGGGCTGTACAGTCAGCAGCAGCAGCAGCTATACATTAGTTCATTTAATAGTATTGTGGCTTGAAGAGCAAAATTACAGGGGTAGCGCCCTGTTATGTATGTAATTAGTAACGTAATATTGTAAGGGACTGTGAGTTAGGGATTTGCCCACCACATCCCAATATAAATTGTATGTTTGTTTTAATAAACGATGGTCGACAGGGGCAAGGAATGTGTCGCGAAAGCAAACAGTGCGCCCCAGTCGATCGGTGCCGAAACAAAAAAAAAAAAAAGAGTCAATCATCATGATATCTCATCGATCCTCAATGTTTTCATTTGGTACCCCTGGCTTCATGTTATCTTTGTAAATTATCTGTTAACACATCTACTGAATTTTTTGATTTTGTAAACCGCTTTAAAAATAATTATCATTTGAATTATAATCTAAATAGTTTAAACATTTTCTACCAAAATGTCCGTGGGTTAAAAACTAAATTAAGTGATTTTAGAAGTTCTATTCCACTTTTTATTTGTTATGATGTTATTATCCTCACAGAAAAATGGCTCTCTTCTGACGCCCATGACTCTGAACTTGGGCTCAATGGCTATCAAATCTTCAGGGTTGACAGAAATTATCTTAACAGTAACTACTCACGAGGAGGTGGTGTTCTCATTGCAATCAAGTCTTATATTAAAACATCTCTTATCTGTACAAACCTCAACACGCTCGAGCAAGTATATACCCTTCTGTCCATTAATTCATTTAAAATTCTTATAGGTGCAGTTTACTTACCACGCTCCCAGATTTTGAGGCCCATACCAGCTCTATGGAACACTTAATATCATCTGCCAACCCTACATATATTCTTCTCTGTGGTGACTATAATCTACCTCTTATTAAATGGTCTAAAATCAACCAAGGTCTTTTCGCATCTGGTACCATGCCTAACACTTCTACTCATCTTGTCGATTCTTTATCGTACTATAATTTTTAATAGCTCAACCAAGTGCGTAATGCCCGTGGATGCCTTCTTGACCTTGTCTTTTCTAGTTTTGACACACCTACTGTCAAACTTGCCAACACTCCAATTGTTTCTCCGGATTCTTACCACCCACCTTTGTTTGTATCTTTTCCATTTCCAACTCCGATAACTGCTCAAGACACACATAAATACCGTGATTATAAACCGGCTGATTATAAATCCATACTCCGTTATCTAGGATCGTTTGATTGGGAAAATTCTTTTTCGCTTTATTCAGTTGATGATTCTGCTGTTGTCTTTAATGATGCACTTTTAAGCTTTCAGGGAATTCCTCAGTACTTACATTGACGAGTATTGCCGACGGGTGAGACCTGATTATCTGCTGCTTAATTGCCTGTTTCGCACTTATACCTTCCCGGATTAGTTCAACAGGCACCTCGGTCGTGCCATCTGTCTCGGCTTTCTTCCCAATGGGATTCACCTTCCTCACCACCTCCGTCCATAATTTTGGTCCACCGTCCATTCTGTCGCCCCCGATGTTGTCCTGAGGCAAAGAGTCCCACCAACAATGACTCTGTGTCGCGGCGTCACTAGTCGCGATGCACAAAGGGTTGTTTACGGAGTCTATGGCAACATTCTTGACACTGGCTGCTGCGGCGTGATTCTCTAGGTTTTTCAGCCTCTCTGCCGCGTTCAGGCGCTGTTTCCGTACACCTGTGACTTGTTTAAAAACTGCAATCGCATCGTCGAGCGCTATTTGTACCGGTTTTGCCACGTTCATGCCCTCCCTCACAGCTTCAAGTATTGTGTTAAGCCTTCTGCCTACTCTCTCGATATATTAATTCTCTGAGCTTTCTGCCGTGTCAACGAATTCGCGGAGCTGTTCCTCCGTCATCTAAATCACCTTGGAATTTGCTATGTTTGCGGACTGAGCTGAGTTGCAGCTGGCAATAAGTTTGTCAGCTAGGTGGTATTAACGGGGTCCCCGTTGGAGCCCGACGTGGATTCCATGGCGGGGGGGGGAAATCGGGTGACCCATGCCCCCTTTGCTTCTACTGTTTCTTGTCAGTTACCAGCCAAAAGCAGAGTAAGGTACACCCAATCCGAAGGTATCGGTGTCCTTGCCTTCTATGCCTGGTATTATTTCTCACTGTCCCTATCACTTCTCCTAACTCCTCTCCAGGGGGGGGTAGGGGGTTGTGGTCTTCGGGGTCGTATCCGGAGTCGTCGTGGTAGGATAGGGGAATTTGGGAGGGCAAATTTTTAATCCCGAAGCTCTTCGACTAAATCCTGCCGAGATTTCGGCAAAAAAACTGTTTTGGGGGGGGGGGGGCTTATGTTCCCGATGGGGGGAAACTGTTTCCCCGGCGAAACAGTTTTGCCGTTTACCCCGCTCCTCCCTGGCGATTATTTACGGAGTTGTAGGCAAAAACGTTCACCTCCGTGGTGGGATGAAATTTTGAAAATCCCGCAGTGGACGATTTGTTGTCGTTGATTTTTGCCTCGACGGTTCTTCACACCGTGACGTTTGTTCCCCGTCACAGGTCACGTGACGACAGCTGTTTCCAGGCGCGGAAACAGCTGTTTAGACGGAAATCCCGTTTTCACCCGGGCGGCTTTGGGCGGCCGTGTATTAGCATAGGGGGGACCTTAAATGCGTGGTAACTCACCCGTTATTCTCCCTCGTCGGAGAAGGCGTCCCTGGATTTGTCTTCTCCGGACGCTTCTTTTGGGCCACCGCGCGCGAACGTGGCGCTTGTACTTCAGCCGCAAACTTCTCGGCGACGTATGGACCTGGCCTGCTGGTTTTCTCGGCACCTGGGGGTCCGAGGGGGGTGCGCGACAGCCCGAACCCTGCGGTGATCTTTAATCAGGTCGACTCAAAACCGACACCGACCCGAACGCGCACTTTTTAGCGAAAAAACCGTGATCCGCGTAACACAGTTGCGAATACGTGCGTAAATCACAAAAATTGAGAATTCTCGGGGAGAACTCAACCGATTTCCAGGCGGTTTGTACCAAACGACGCAGAACGAACTAATGCGTCGATTCAAACCTAGCGCGCAAAAAAACGGTGGAGTATTTCCAGAGAAAAAACAAAAACACTCGGGAGCGACGCACGGACACGTCTGTTCGCCACGACAGCCACCGCTGAATGATTGACTGACGTCACCACAGGTCCCTGGGTGGTTCAAGCTGGTTAGTTTTTGCAAGGGTGACATGACGATGAGTAGTATTGTTTAATTGAAAATCCTTATTTGCCTGGACAATGGAAGGAACGCCGTTGAAATGTCTGACCACTATATTATTTTCTCCGTTCTTCCTACGCTGTTGTAAATCGGCATAAACCTGACGTACTTGTTGCCGTTCCATTAATGTACGATCACGAACAACCGACACCAATAATGGTGGGTTGGTAGTAGCACGAGAGCGCATACCGGTTACAAAGTCCTTAATGAATTGTTGGGAAGTGATCTTTGATGTAAATATGACTTTTAATGGGCGAGGGCTCTTACCAATAGTGCTACCCTACCTGATCATCTTAACATCTGGAGGCAGAGACATAGCAAGTGGTAGAATGGACTCAGACAGATGCTGTAGGTCATCAGATAAACGTTCAGTTGGTATAGTAGCAAAAGATTCAATAAGTCCGTGGACGATGGCATTAAAAGAACATTTTTCTCTTTCTGATAGTTCTTGAAGAAGCTGAGGAATATTGTCTTCAGATGAAGAGGGCAATTTACCCACGTCAGATTCAATGACACCGATCCTATTGTTGAGAGTAGAAAGTTCGTTACGAAGAGAGGTATTGTCTGCTCTTACATCAACAATTTGTGAAGCTAGTGAGTCAACACTAGCTTGAAGTTCACAAAACTTTTTATTGAATGAAAGGGATAGAGCCTTACATTGAGCCAAAGTAGCATCCTGAGGTTTACGCACGGCCGAAATTACTCGAATAAATTCTTCAGACGATAGTGTGGTGGGTGAAGGCGGAACTGAAGACTTGGCAGATCTGAGCAACATTTGCTGGTCAGAGACTACAGGTGAATTAAGATTATCCGAAGACATAGTAGAATTTGTGGCAGATAAAACTCCTTAAATGAAAAGAGATGCAAGACAAATAGCAGTAGTAATTAAAAGCCTTGAATAATCAGTTAAAGCAAAATAGTCTGATTCCAATATAAACGATAACGTAATTAGGATGACCTTGTCACGTGCCGCGGACGAATTGAAGATATCGAAGGTAATAATACAATCGTGTATACGTGTGCACTGTGCTGTTATGAGCAGCAAACGTTGATAAGATGACCCTCTTGTACTAGAATCGCCTACGATAGGTATAATTAATCGATATCATATTAGTAAATAGACTGTCAGGTGTAATAATAATAAATAGACCGCGGATGAAAATACGAGTATAATGCAGTGAAAATACTCTATCATATGCATGCAAATATGCAGTATAAAATACAGAAATGTGCATAGACTATGACATTATGTTAAAATATGCACCAAGAATTATGAAAACAATATGAAAAAATTATGATGATGATATTTATTAACAAAAAAAAATGGCAGTACACAACCATTCCATCAGTAGTAAACGTCCCTGGATATTAATTTATCCAAACATGAATACGCGTATTTTTAATAGGAGGCATCTTATAAAATAAATTAATATCTTAATGTGTACAATTTGGTGATTCATGAGAGATTGAAAAGTGAACACAAAAATAAATACGAATTGATTTTGTTCGAGGCAGGTGCAAACGATTAAACGATATCTTATCGAGTTTTCGATATTAATATAAATAACGACGGCAGTAGAAACTCGTCCGGTCAATTAGTTCGGTCGGTATGTACTATATATGTATATATAGTATGCGACTTAACACATTTGATCAGTGTGTTTTTTGTTTAAAAATACGATTATATGCAGGGGCGTATTGGAGCGTATACGGTAGTATACGGCATATACTCATAACAATATTTACAAAGAAATGCGTATACTTGAAAAAAATATGTGTTTTATAAGTATAAAAAATGTTGAGTATAAATATGCATACTTGGTAAAAAAAAGGCGATTATATGCAAATGCATATAATCCACGGTCTAATAATAAATAATAATACAAATAATAAATAGACAATACATCAAATAATTTAGATAAATTTATAAAATAATAATAAAATAAATGATAAAATAATGAATAAAACATTTAAGTTTGTTATATTATATTATCGTAGGTATCGTATTAGCTTCGTGGCTTAAATTTATTTGCCAATACTTTTTAATACTGAAATTTTGAAATTTCATTCATGTTTAATTTATCAATTAAATTATTAATACAATTTTTTTTTATTTTTTTGTGGCTGTCCTAATAATTTTGGATTCCATTTTTGATGAATTAATTAATATTACCGTATCTAACTGCATTGCTTTTAATACATCCAACAATTTATAAATACGAGGGTGAGTAGAAGAAAAATTAGAATTGTATTTACCATGAAATGATTCACAGGCGTTGGTAGACCTTTGTGCACTCGATGTCATTTCAGCCCATATTTTTGGTGGAAAAGACAAATCTTCATCTATATAATTGTCAACCATATAATCGGAGAATTCAGTTAATCTGTCAATCTCGGTTTTAGTTCACCAAGATGTATAGCAAAAAACGTCGCTACCTGAAAATAAATAACTGTTTAAGTAAAAATTATAATCATTTTATAATAAATTAATGTAATCAAAATTGTACTTCTTCTGGATGCAGAAATGGGAGACCAAATATGTATGTGAGGTATTTTCCAATCTCGTCGTTTTTTGAATATTCTGTAGCTAAGCCAATTTTTTGTATTTTACGCCACCAAGATTAACATAAATTAAATATACAACCCTTAATTTCAATTTGTGGCCAAACTTCAAGTAATGCATTATGAATGGATTTTTCAAAATCAGCGAAACACATTTTTGGTTCAAATACTTTGTAATGAATTTTCAACGCTTGTTTTTGTTGTAGAAATTATTGTGCGTTTATTTTCATACGTATTTTTTTTACAGACAATTTAGAATATTTGTTGTACATTATTTCTTTTTCAAATCAAGTTATACTCTTTCGAGTTTACATAGAAAATAATTTACTGTGGGATTATATAAAATAGGGGGTTGGAAATGATGTGAACATGAAACTCACGATTTGTATTCGCGAGATCGTGGTGGCGGGCTCAGCTCTTATGGCGGCGTGTTTCCACATTCAAATGGCGTATTCAGAGGTCTGTTAGTTGACGTGAATCGCTTGTCATAGTTGTCTCTTGTGGTACGGCAGTACACTGAAGTACCTTTGGACAGCTCCTTCGGAAGTTGGCAGATGAGTGATCGGACGACGGCAGCGATGGCTCGGCATTCTCGACACTTTTAGTCGGCGGAGAAGGGTGTGCCGGGAGAGACTATATTCAATGTCCGTTCGTGGCGATAATCATATCGTCCGGCTCATTGAATCTCTTGGGCAAAGCAGCTGTTAGTAGAGTTTTAAGATGGGCATCCGTTCGTGACGGTATCAATACCGTCCGGCTTGCCAGTCTTTACTCTCAGCGGGGAGAACTGTGTGTTGCATCGGCGGCCAGCGGCTTATACTTATGCTGTGTGGGGACCACCGGTCCCGATCGAAATGCTAGGTTACATATTCTGTTTTAAGTTTTCCAGTTGCGTGTTTGAAATAGTTAGTAGTAGTAATTTGATGGTTTGTAATGCGCTGATTCTGAATATGTATTCGGCGATCTTGTATTCCTTTTCCTTGGTTAGGAAAACTCCTCTTTCCCAGCGGGCGGCGCGTGTTCGGAGAATCGTTGCGCCAGCCAGCGCTATCTGTGGTTGCTATTGGCAGTTGCGCGCTGTTAGACACTCGATTTTGCGAGGCGGCGGTCGCTGTTGATTAGTAGTAAGGAGGAAAACTAGAGTGGGTCACTTTGTTGGTCACTCCGTTTTGTCTCATTACAACTTCCACGGACTTCAAACATTGGTTACGTAATTCGACAAAAGCTCATTTATATGATACTTGACTTTTATCTCTTAGCAAAAAAATGCGAAGTTTATATAATAATTATTTTTAAAACCATGTATTGTAAACAATTGGCAAAAATATTTAACATAATAATCAAAAGTACCATCCACGTACATTGTAGTTAGCGAACTTAAGAATTTGATATTTTCATCACACGAAAACATCACAAAACCATTAAATGTCTTAATCTCAATTGATGATAAAATATTATGGATTTCATTCGCATCTTGTGGCAATTTTGGATATATAGAATTCCTAGCATGATTCATATTATTTTTTATGTAAGTTACGTCTGAGCTTGATAATGTACTTACATTACACTTTTTCATCTCGTCATGAAATAATTTTGCAGGTCGTTCAGAGAGCTGTTCTAAAGCTTTTCGTTTTAAATTGTTGCCGAGTATTTGTCTATTAACTTTTTTCTCCGAGTCTTTCACAATTGTGAATAAGTTTACTATTTTCGAACTGGATTCCAAACTTCATTTCATCACACTTATTAGTTTTTAAATAAGCAGAACATATTTTTTTTTGTACACGGCCATCGCTTAACGTCATTGGCCAAATTTTTTTGGAATCCAAACTTAAAACCATCACATATTAAAATAAATTGTTTTGCCTTTTTCACTAACAACGTTCATTTTTATAACACTGCGTGTTATTGTTATTTACGAAACTGACTGTGCTGAACGGTGATGACGGACTAATCTTTAACTGATAATCAGTGATCGACAAGTTTGTAGCATTTGGCAAATTAATCTGCCAGGGAAGTTGTAACGCTTTGGTTACTGACGCCTGTTACAATATCCTAGTATATTTTTACCCCCCTATCGAATATTTTTACCGGGGGGGGGAATAATATCCTAGTATATTTACTAGTACGGACTCGGCATGTTTGCTATCTCCAACTGATTAGCGTCAATACCCGCCACCAGCGTGTCATCCCTCGCGTCATTCACACAGCTGTACCATCGTCTTGAAAACGCATTGGCATCCAGTGACACCAGCACCTTGTCCGTCGCCGCGTGTATGAGTTCCTCCAGTACCGGAACGTGGACTGCCGTTGGCACCCTTTACTTAAAGTAGCCACTGATGAGGGTCACCATACCATCAGTTCCGCAATCCAGATCGAGAGATACGAAATTCTCCTTTGTACCGGCCTCTCGTGGGACAACCACCAGGTTAGGGTTGAAAACTATAATAGCCGCTCCATAGTCCAAATATTCCACTCTACCTCGGCGACGGGTGGGCTTTGAAAGGAAGCTCCTGAAAGGGGCTACTTCAAACCCCGTCAATTTTCCACGGTTTGTGTACGGCTCTTGTACCATGGCTATGTCCACTGCTTTCCTCTGGCAATAGTCCAAAAGTTGAACGCTGACCCCTGACGACCTTCCCATATTTAGTTGCACGATCTTGAGTGATGGGTTTCACGCTCATTGTGCGATCCCATAGTCAGTCCTCCTTACTTGACCCAACAAATACGCCGTGCGGGCAGAGCACGTCTTGGCCCTTGCGTTATGTTTCCCCCGGCAGTTGACACATGTTGGATCCGCCTCCGCAGCCGGGCAGTCCAACGCCTTATGACCCTTCCGCCCACAATGCGGACACACCTGTTCTTTTTCGTTGCATTTGGCCGCTGGGTGTCCGTGTCTGAGGCACATATGGCACTGAGTCACCACCTTGTATGCATTCGTTCTGCACCTCATGAATCCAAGATAGAGCGTTGTGCTCTCAAACTTACTATAGTACTTGGGGTTCACCTCCACAACCCAGTTCGTGGTGCTCTTTCCCCGTGGGCCGGTTTGGAAGACCGGCTTTACAACCTCCTCGTCCACATCTGCCTCTATTCCCAACTCTGGATTTTGTGCCAACAGGTCCTTCTGGGACCCGACCATGGCGGTGTAAGTGCCTATACCACGGATTATGATACGGGGCCACCGTAATCTATCCTCCTGTAACAGGGTAGATACCCTTGCAATATGTTTCAGTGCATCAGTCGTCTCCTTGTCCATTGGTTTCAATATAACCTTCCCTGACTTTGTTGTTACCGTCTGGAATCTAGGTCTAACTTTCTTTGCCACCACCTGGTTCCATACCATATCCCGAACCTCGGTCGATGTCTTGCCCTCTGGCTCCTGCAGTACAAAGGAAGGCATGTTCTCCGTCTGCCTACCCTCCTTTATTCTTCTATTCCGTTGCGTTGCCCTCGACCTAGAGCGGTCCGCTGCCCGGTCAGTTGATCGCGCACCCTTCCTCCTGGTGACTGTCGCGAAGGTCGCCACTCCCACATTCTCTACCTGTTCCTGCACCACCGGCTCCGGTGCCACAGCAGCTGCTGCCTCATGTACTAGGATATTATTCCCCCCCCCCCCCGGTAAAAATATTCGACAGGGGGGTAAAAATATACTAGGATATTATTACCCCCCCCCCCGGTAAAAATATTCGACAGGGGGGTAAAAATATACTACGATATTATTACCCCCCCGGTGAAAATATTCGACAGGGGGGTAAAAATATACTAGGATATAATTAAAAACATTTTATACAATTTTAACAATAGTTACCCTATGGTCAAAATTTAATCTCCGCGACGTAAAATAATCATAACATTGTGAAGTGAGACTGTTTAAATTTTTGCATGTGTACATCTCCGAGATTAGTATATGCGACGCTTAATGTCCAGAAACAGGAAGTCGTCATATGCGATATGCGACAACCTTATTAACACTTGTATGTGATATCCATATAACTTCTCATTATTTACTCATAGATATCACATAGTAAAAAACTAAGGATAGCATAGATAGCATGTGAAATTTAATATTAGTAACTGTGGTTAATCGCGGAGACGATTCCCAATTCCATCACAATGACTTTGCATAGACTACCTACAGTACTACACAAAGTGTCCGCCGTCCGGAATAAAATGAAAAATAAAATATTTCTCGTCCAAAAATTTAGAAGTAGTACCCAGGCGGATTCGAAACCTACATCCCTAACTTATTAACCCTACGCCTAACCTACTGGGACACACTAAAGAGATAATAATAATAATTGGTATAGTATAATCATTGCAATAATCATAATCCTTACTTTTGTATAAGATTTACAATATTTAATTTATAATGCATCTTAAGACAATTCAATAAATTTGAGCGTTTCACAAAACAATTTTTTTTATCAATAAATCCTAAAAAAATGTCATCCTTGTCACGATATAATGTCTTACTCCAATTTACGTACTACGCTGAGGAATTTCGCCATTTTTCTTGTTGTTCTGATTATAACCTTTATGTTATTATTAATTGTACCCTATTAACTTAAGTTTTTAATCAATGTTTCTGTGTCCAACTGTATGGTTAATTAAGTACTATTCAGTATTCTTGTTTAATAAATAAATAATAATACTGGTTTTGATTTTAGATTCTGAACGGAGTGATGAATGTATTGATTTTACAATGATGTAATAATAAAATGATAAAATATTTAACTTTTATAGCGAAGGTTTAAAAATTTGAAACAAGGTCCACGTAACATAATGAATCTAATTAGATTAATACATTTGGAATATATTTTATAGGTACCTACCTATATTTTTTTTAAAAATATTATAATTAATATTGGATAAAATATCCCAGACTGAAAATTCGTCTCCGATCAGAATCGTTTTTCGTATACAAATATACAATAATATTGTATCATTGAATTCAAATTTAATCCATTACAGTAACCCACTTGTAAACAACTGTACAGCAGAGCGACATCCACTTATCCGCTTTTTTAAATTTTATTGTATATTTATTCTTATTATCACATTTTAAAATCGTCACGAATATTATGTTACATATATCTCTTGAATTCTTAACAAATATATAAATAAAATAACTTTGAACTTAAATAATATTAATTTATAAACAATATGATTGTACTTAATTATAATTAAAAATATATCGTCGCGTAATTTAAATATAATATATGTTTTCTTCACTCTATTTCAATAACGACTTGGTAGTGATTTCTGTTCACGTGTGATATATACATGCAATTTTCATTTGGATTTGTCCCATCTTTATACGAACCATCTTTCCCAAAAAGTTGCCATGAACAATGGTAGTCGGAATATATATAAATCGATGTTTTCAACAACAATGAAGTAGCAAATATCTCTGCTTCTGTGACCCATGTGCCACTAATATTTGCAGGGTTTATTTCTAAATATTTTTCGATATCACCAACAAAACTGTTAACTCGACTGTCTTCTGTAAAAAACTGTTAAAAAATGTAAAGTAATTAATATTAAAATAATAATAATATTAATTTTTTTAGTAAATTATAGATTAGTTTAATTCATTAATTTTCAAATAAAAAATATTTTACTGTGAGACATTTAATATCATTATATTTCATGAAAATGTTGATAAATCATAATTCTATTTAAAACAAAATAATATTAATAAAGATCCTTGTTTTAGATTCTGAACGGAGTGAGGAATGTATTGATTTTACAAGTAATTTGCAAGTAATTTGGCAGTTAAAAATTCATAAAATTTTTTCTTTTCATACCTAAGGTTAAAAACTTCAACACATGACCAACCATAACTTTTTCTTCAAGGAACTTTAAAAAAAACTCGATCGTGATTTTAGAAAAAAAATTTATGAACGTCTGAAATTTAAATCTTTACAAAATTGCGTAAAATAACGATGTATCGAAAAATTATTTTCGATATTTGTTATTATTCAAAAAGTATAAGTCGTAGGAATTTGAAACTTCTACCAGTTGTTTAGATTGGCATTTTCATTAATAATTTTATTTTCAAGATATTTCACTAATTTTTAATCTATTTATAGGCATTTGAAATATTCGATTATTTTAATTTTTTTTTTTTTAATTTTGTTAAAAAAAAATTGGCTGGGACAAAATACTTGAAAATTTAATAGTTGATTCCACATGAATTGTTCTTACTGTCATTCAAAAATTATAAAAAAACATCAGCACAATTTTTTTTATTAACGTTTGAAATCCGTACATTGATAGAATTCGTCAAAATCATGAATATTTGCTAATTATTCTATAGTTAAAAATGTATAAATATTTTTTTTATTAAAAGCTAAGAATTGAAAATTTAATACTAGGTTGTCCATAAGTTGAGCTTAGAATAATGATAAAAAAAATTGATGATTATTCAATTAAACAATTTTTACAAGTGTTTAAATTTTCACGAAATCAAAATTCACTCGTTAAAATAAAATAATAACAATATTTAAATATAATATATCCTAGACTGACAAATCATCTCCGTTCAGAATCGTTTTTCGTATACAATGATACCTATCGTTGCATTCAAATTTAACAAACACATTTTAGTGACCTAGGTACTCTATGACTGAGGTCCATCCCACCCCCTAATGTAGGTACAGTAGAGCGACATCCACTTACCAGCTTTTTTTTTTATTAAGTATCAAATATATAATTACTAATTTAAATTTAATAGATAACAATAAACATAAATACCTTATATACACAGGATCTAATTAATTCGTGATAGTCTTCGGAATTTGTCAGCCAAACAGAGATGCACCGAAACCAACAATTTCCGTCTCCGATGACGTCGATTGTTTGTTTTGGTTTGGACAGACGTTTGTAACTCTTCTTTGCTACACATTGATGTTTTTGTGTTATTGGCACATTCAATTCTAAGCATTTATTAGCCATCCATAATTTGCTAACCGGTCTGAAAGCTGATTTTTTTACAGTTATCACATTTTCATCAGATACGATTACTTCGTCGTCAGTTGGATCCTGAGAAATGTCTTCTGTCCGTTCAAAAAACTTTTTATGTTTTTTAAATGCTGATGAGTTTTAATTAGTTTATCTCCTCTTCTTAACACACAGGTGTTTTTGTCGGAGATTGACTCAATTGTAAAAGGTCCTATCCATGGCATTAAAGACCATCCACCTTTCCTATCATTTCTTCTTAAATTTTTCAATAGAACCTTATCACCCGGCTTGAATTTTGTATCTGCTTTCAAATGCCGTTTTGCATATGACTCTCGTTGCCTAAGTTGAGCCTCATTTATGTTTTGTATTGCCTTACTTTCTACAACTCCTAAAAAAACAAGAAATAATTTTTTTTATTTATCTACTATTATTATCATATTAACCTGCTTTAAGTAGCAATAAGTAAACGTTACTTTATTATAATACATAACATTTTTGCAATTGATTGTAACATAGTGCAATGTATATACATAATATTAAACAAGTAAAAAAATATTTTAAATTAAATTAAATAAAATTAGTAAAAATGATGAAAAAAATCGTGTTTTATTAATAACGTTAGCTATACTTTGATATACATTTATTCAAATAAATCCTATACAAGCAATTGGTCACTCTAATAGCAAAGTTCAACTATTAGTTAATTAAGCAAAAACCAATTGATTTTAAAGTTCATAAAAAGCACATAAAAATGTCCTAATATTTTTTCGAAATGTTGAAAGGGGATATATTTTTTTGTAAGTTAATCTAATTTGTTCAATATTACATGACTACAGATGTTAATAAAAAATTGTGAATTTATTTTTTATGTTTAATATTAAAGCAAAAATAATTTAAGGGGAAGATTTTTGAATTAAATTTTGTAGATTTTTTTATCAAGTCCAGAAATATTTTTGACATAAATAAAAAAAAAACATAATTTTTTGGATTATGAAAATTCTTGGAAATTTCAACATGTTTAAACTACCTAGGTACAATTTGTAATCAGAAACCACTACCAATGTGAATGGTTGATCTATTTTTATTTTTAATTTCAGACCTTTTGACAGAAAGAAAAAGACAACATACCATCTCGTTAGAAAACTAGGTAATATGGACTATTAAATTCAGGAATGAATTATTATGAAATTAATAACATATTATGTTACAAATATTGAAAAGGTAAAATTTAAAATAATTAAATTAAAATGTTTTGCAAAAATATTGAACAGTTTAACTTCAAACTATGTAAAAATGAATAAGCACTAAAGAATAAATTAAATAGTTACAACGATGATGAGTGTTATATTTTACTAAATACTTTTATAGATTATACTCATATAATATGATATAGGACTATTTTATTTACTTCTTAAGTCCAACATCGTTTGAACAGTT